GGGGTTGACGTTGACAACATACAAGTGTGTGTGCACTGGAAATAAAGGATATAAATAAAGGATTGTTTGCCATAGACTTTTTATTTGAGATTTGTTGAAATAAAAACAAGAATATTTTGTAAAACAACAAAGGTTGTAGATCATATGTTTGAGAATAGAATAGGACTACTTGTTTTAAAAACGCCTGTATCTTTAAAAATTAAAATTAATTGTGATATAGGACCTAAATAAATTTAATTTTTAAAACGCCTTTAAGTCGGCTTAAATCTTTTCATAAACCATTCAAAGGTATAAATTCGATGCACACGTTAATCAATTTTACACTCTTTAGGGGGCTATACAAATTAACAGTCTTGGTATTAATCAAAATCCCTGATTTGAGACCTTTCTATAGGAAAACCCTTTTGGAGATGAAAATAATTAAAAGGATCTTGATCCTTATGAACCATTTTTTGCCGTGTGCGTGTGTGAGTGACATCTCAACCAGCTTGGCCGATGACTGGGACGTCCTAATGGTCTTTTGCCTCCTGTAACTGACTGATGTTTGGCCCACACAGACTCGCACTCACACTTGCCCAGCGCCGCCATAATTAATGATGAAAAATTGCTACACACACACACACACACTCACACACAGTGGACACTCAACATATGCAACAGCAAGGGGAAAAGCGAGGGGGGGGGGGGGATGGGGGAAAATATAAAGCCATTTGGTTTTGTACGGAGGAAATTAACATGAAAAGGGCAAAGCGCAGCTGCCATTCGCGTTTGGCCGAATATGTGAGATCGGTCTAAAGTACCAACCCAAACCTACCGGAAACCCCCCCCCCCCCCCCACAGAGTGGTCAATGCCAGAAGGTCGCCGGGAAACAAGAAAAATCCCCTGCTTCACCCAAAAAAAAAAGGAACCCCCACTAAAACACATAAAGTGGCGCACTAAAGCTGCGAGCTCGGCAAAGTGATTAAATTGAGTTAATTATGTCCACCGAGAGGAGTGCGTTAGAGCGAGACAAATACGAGTTTGAAGTTGTACATAAATTATTACAAGGATATTAAATGTGGCACACAAAACGGGGGGGATTACCCAAGTATTAAGTGCATATTATCAAAGGCCGTTAAATGCCAGATATAAAACATTTGGCCTGCGCAAAATTGCTTTAATCAACCCTTAATCTTCATTTGCACCAAAAACACTTTGTCTTTGTTAAATCTTTTCAAAGTTCCCTGCTTGTTTTTTATCCAAAAAAAAAAACAATTCTCATTTAAAAACCATTTGGCATCGGGTTTTTATTTTTAGGGGAGTGAGTTGCCATTTCTATTGAGTTATGTCGCGAAAATTTGCCTTACGAAATCGAACTTCTATCCAAAAGTTTATCAAAGCCAAAGCATTTAATGGTTGTGCAAAATGTTTCCACAATTTTTTTTGCTGTTTTATTTGGCTTATCCCTTTGGACCAGCCCGCTTTTTATTTTATTTTTTTTATATATGGTAGCCCGGCTCTTATCTAAAAACCCGTTAAATTTATTATGCAACATTGCGCGCGGGTGGAAAATGCGATTTCTCATTCGATACAGATTCAGGTAAACATTCGCCGTGTGTGTCCGGCAAATAAATAAAAGCGAAAATTTTCTGCTGGCGCGTGTAACGCCAAATAAAAACCGAAAAACATTAACAAGCGGCGGCGGAAAAAAATGTAACTTAATTGCCAAACACACACACACACACACAGATACACACGAACACACACAAAAGGGTGTTGTGCTGTTGCTGTGGTTGTGTTTTCCGCGTGGGGTTTTCCGTGGGTCGGAAAATGGGGGGCGAACCTTTCTGCTCTTGGCGTGCGTGCGCCGTGCGATATAATTTATGTTTCAATAACTTTCGAAACTCATTGAAAAGTCGCTTATGTTTGCTTCAATGGCAGCAGCAACAACAACACCAAGAAAAACAACAACGTGCACAAGAAGAATGCTAAAAGTACAACAATAAATTGTTTGGATTTACTTATGCGAAGGAGAAAAAGGAGGTGGTTGGGCGCTGAGTTTTCCTTAGCCGGCGCTGCCATTTCCCATTTTACTCAATTTTTTATTGTTGCTGCACTTAAGCGACCCCGCTTTGTCTTCCCACCCGCAAGAAAATTCCCGCTCAACTTGCAAAAGTTTTTCGCTATTTTCCCTTCTCAGTCTTTTTTCTGTGAATGTGTTTTGTTTGCCATTTGCTTTCATTTTGTTTTTCCCGGCTATTGCCTTTTTTCCCAACTTTTTTTTTTGGATTTTTCCCCCCGCTGCCAGTGTTGTTCATTTTGTGCTCTTAAAATTTATTTGCAAGTTTTCTAATTTGTACTTCACTCCATTTTATTGTAATATACAATCTCATTTGAAGTGAGATATCTCAGGGCATCTATCTAACGCAGAAATACGCAAGCAGAAAAAGGAAAAGGGATGAGTACAGGGAAAGAAATTAATATATTTTCATTTAGCAATATATTATTATTAATACTTAAGAGAGATCTTATGAATTGGTTATATATTTTAAAAGGTTAGATATAATTTTAAATATTATTTATGCATATTCTGAATATGCACAAGAACTTAAAGGAAAAGGGATGAGTACAGAGGTCGAAATGAATTTATTTTCATTTAACCTTCAGGACTATTAAAATAATAGTCAGTGAAATACTCAAAAATACTATAATGGATTTTATAAATATTTCAAAAGGTTTAATATTGTATGAAACATTATTTATGCTTAATTTGAATAATCCATATTCTAAGAACTTTGATCCTAGACCATGAAAGTCTATTTATTATGGTCTTTAGCTTATAACTTTTAGTATCCTAATATATATAATTCATAAGGATGTTCCTGGTAACTAAAATTATTAAAATATTGAATTTTCTAACTCTTTTTTAATAAGAAAGTATGCCAAGGCATTGTTAAAAAATATTGGTGGTATAGCAACAATAAGCAAATATAAATCCTCAATGATCTTGCTACCTTTTTCTGGCTAGAACTTTTTATCGCAGTGTAACAAGTTAGCGGAGGTGGCCTATAAGTATGCATTGCCTGCTGATGGCTGATCCTAGCGGCGTATCCTTGTATCCTGTTTCGGGACTGGGGCGCATATTTATTAACCACACTGTTGACTCTCGCTGCGGCAACTTTGCGTGCAGCTTGTTGCTCAGCCAAACCCCTCCCCCCCTTTTCCAATCCCCCGTATCCTTCCCTGTCTTCCGGGTTTGAATTTTGTTGTCGCACCTTCTCAGGAATTCTGTTTACATTTATTACTTTGCGCAAGTTTAAGTGAAAAATTTCCATAAACATTCTTTTAAGCGACATAAAGTTTTTATTAAATTTTGCTAGAAATCCCTGACACGATGATATCAGGCAACAGAACGGCACAACGGCGACGGCAACAAATAGAGCTGCGGAATTTACAACTACCAGAGGGCAGAGAGCACCTGCCACCCTTCGAGATACTTTTCCACGGGGGTCGTCGGCAGTAGGGGAAGTGCCAACTGTTTTACTGAGCTGGCAGTACGAGATACTGCTCCCAGCTTCAGCTGCACGCAGTTCATAAAAATTTTGCCAGCCAACATGACATGCACAAAGGCGAAAGGACACACGACGCCTGATCCTGCGAAGGGAAAGGCGGCGGGAGCAGCAGGTAAAAATAAAAGGAGAGAAATGCTGGAAGGTGGCATAAACTTTCGTCGCTTGTTAACCTGAAAGCTTCGCCGCCACTCCACTGACATTAGATGAAATTCAATTAAAACAAAGATATATTTCTCGTTGGACGAATTCCAGCAGGAGTTGCTTAAACCAGGCGAACAAAAAATACCAGGAAAAAAGGACTTCCGCGCATTGTGTATACGCCCCATAAAACGCTTAATTAGTGCAAAAAGAAACAGGAACATAAACACTTGCTAGTTGGGCGGTCTTTAACTTTCTTTGTAGAAAATGGAAATAGAATCCCTCAAACATTTAAATAACAAGCGAATTGTTAAAGGGAATGCTTCCAGATAAATTAAATTAAGAACTTTAGTTAATTTGCATTAAAAAACTTTCAAATTATAGCGTCTGATACAAAAACTTTTAAACGGATTCATAAACAGCTTAATTAGCTGAATAAGAAAGCTGTATTTAATTACTTCCGCATTGAATGGTCTTAAATTTTATGTGCTGAATATTGAAATTGAAATTGACTCGTTTAAATGCCATCTCATTATTCATACTGTCCGCAAAAACCAGCTAATTTACGTTAAGCATTTTTAAATAAGGTCAAAGTACACGATTGGACGTTGGGGTTCCAGGGGTATTGGCCACGTTCAGCCAACTGAAAGTTGATCGAAACCGCAACAAATGACAAACGTTACGGGGAAAAATACACAACACAGAAATCCACACACACAAACACACATGACCAAAGGAAAAGCGGGGGCGGAAAAACGGAGTAATAGGTAGAGGAGTAACACAGGGGAAAAAAAAATAAAATCAATGAAAATGAAAACCAATTAGCGGTTAACCAAACTGTTCAAATTTGGAAATGGATGCAGCCGTGCATGGCCATAAACAACAACGGCAACAAAGATGGCACAAACGTATAGGGTCGCCAGATGAGTGATAGAGAGGTCAACAGAAAGGTAAAAGGTTGCCGGGGTTACAAATTTATTACACGAAAATAGGAAATAATTAAAATCAGTTCCAGTTCGGATACCTTTTTGGGGTAGAATGATGAGGAACTTTTTGATTGATAAATCAAAGGCCGCTTCTAAATGGCCAGGAAAATGTGAACACATTAAAAAGAAACCAGATGTACAATGAAACTTACAAGATTCTTGTAACATATCATGAAAAAATATAGTAAGTGGAGTAACAAATTTTGTCAATTTTTCAAACAATTTGATTTTACAAAAGGGTTCTATTCCGAAATCAGCATATTTATCCTAGAAAATCTTCAACATTTTATAGATTATCCCCCAATTTCTTCCCAAATTACTCACCTGGATCTGCGCGTCGTGGGATCCTTCATGACCATAGCCTCTGAGATATCACCATATCGTCCGAAGTAATCGCGTAAGCTCTCTGAAAGAAAGACAAACAAATGCAGTGAATAATCAATCAAAGCAGGTTTATGAAATGTCCTGGGGTTACACGCAAGTACAGCCATCAAAATCACGATGCCAAAGTTACTAATTTCGTTATACGCTTAATAAAAGTAAACTGAAAACAAAAAATAAAAGGGAAAAAAACGAATTTCGCGTGATGCCCAAATAAACAAACTGGTTGGGGACCCCGAAAATTTCTTCTTCCTCCCGACAAAGGGTCGTCTCCTCCCTAAAAACCCCCTTTCCGCACCCTTTGCATACGCAACTGGACATTATTCACATGCATACTCGCAGGATGCACTAAGAAAAATATATGTTTAACATATTTTACAGACTTAAAACATTTTTAATATTTCGGCTTATAATTTTTATAATCATAATTGTATTAAAAGTAGTACGATCCATTCAATTTTGCAATAATAATAATAATTAAATACATTCTACAGTTTAGTTTTCTGAACTTTTTTTTGAGTTTAAACCACTTTCCTGCCTTAAAATTGAAAATAATACTAATCCAAAGATCCGAAACTTTCTAAAACCTTAAAATTTTGAAACAAATCATAACTGAATGTATTTTAAAATATTCCTTAAATATTTACCATGAGTTTTATTGCATTTCTCTGCCTGTAAACACACACAAAGTACGCAGACCACTTCAGACTCGCTGCTTTGGCTGCCAGCGGCAGCTGTTGTCTGCGGTTTTGCGAGCTAATCTGACTCTGACTCCCGTTCGGAGGATGCGGATGCGGATGGAGGATGAAGGATCACGGATGGTGGATTGGGGATGGGACTCCGTCCGGGTGGAAGCACTTCAGCGGCACGTACGCACACAAACGCAACACTGAAGTTATTCCAACAAAATTGCCAGACAAACGCGACCAGGGGCGGGGTATTGGAATGGGAAGGGGGGACCGCACGACAGATACCAAGGCTCGTTGGCTGCGATTTAATGCAGCAAAAACAAGCAAAATAAAACCGATAAAGTCATCTCTCTCGCCCGTCGGCTGCTGGCGGAAGAACCCTAATCCAGTCGAGTGTCGACGCTGGCGTCATAAATTCAAACTACAATAAAAATTCAATAAAACAAACGATTTTGCCGCTCACGCCGCGTGGCCAAGACGCTCCGGCCATAAATGTGGTGCGAGAAATCGCACCAGGGAACCAGCTCCACCACCACCACCATCACCGCCATTACCATCGCACCAACACTTCTTCCCAGAAATCGCAGCACCGCCAACACACACGCACCAAAAACAAAGCTAGAGCAACTAGTTGCGCCTTGTGTCGATGCAAAAAGCTACACTTAAACAAAAAGTTTACCCACATAGAACTCAAGTTCCTGTTGTATTATATTTTCATTTGAAATATTTCTGGTAAGAATACAATTTTTCTTCTTTATAAGGTAGAGATTCCAAAGATGTTTTTAGGAAAGGTATGATCACAGAGATAAAGGACTGAAGTTCCTATTGTATTATATTTTCATTTGAACTATTTCTGGAAAGCATTATTATTTCTTAATGGAATGTAATTTTTGTTCTTGATAAGGTAGTGGTTCCAAAGATTTCTTAGGAAAGGTATTTTCTTTTCTTACATGTTAGCAGAACTATTTATATAAGTTTCAAATAAGTTTCAGATGAACAATGTAAAAGGAACATTCTTAGTTAATGTATCCAACGGTTATAGCAATTTTTTAGTAATATTACAGAAAAAATAAATTTTACTCATTTCAAATCGACTCACAATTTTTTAAAAGTGCATGAATAATGTGGGTGGAGTATAGGGTTTAAAAAAGGGTGGGAAATGGGGTGAAAAATGGGTGGGAGGATTCAACACACACCCAGGCAGACAGTCAAGTGGGGGCAATGCAACGCAAAACGCGAAGCTCGTCGCGTGATTTACATAAGTATGCACAATAATTATGAACAATAAAAAACAATTTGTTTGCTTATGACAGTTTTGGAACCATAAATAACAACAGCAACTGGCGCAGCGGTTCGAGTGGCATGTGGATGTGGAAAATGGTAGATGGAAATGGGGAAATGGGAAAGCGGGGCCGAGTGTGCGTGTGTGTGTCTGTGTGTGCGTGTGCGGCATGCAAATTGATGGGGCAGCCAAAGGGTTGCGTTCCATTTCGTTACGTTCGTTGCGTATGTGGCGCTGCAAAGTATGCTACACTTTAACTTTTAATGGCCAATTGCCGCTCTATGTCCTTGGGAGAGGGGTTTGTGGGAGGGGGGTCAGGTGGGGCGACACTATTCTATGGCAGGACTTGGCCATTAGTTGAAGTTGAGGTGTAAATAAACCAGTTGGAGTAACCCGTTCTCCATAGCTGTGATTGAGTGGGGCACCGGAAATGAGAATTCGCAGTTCATTCGTTACGGTCGCTATGAAGTTAGCAATTCGTTTGACAGGTCTTTCTTATAAAATCTATCTATACTTAAAAGAATTGTTTTTTAAATTGAAAAAATGTTACCCCATTTACCTTAGTATTTCATTTTAATAAAGAATTTAATGTTACCTATTTATATATATAAAAGGCAAGACCTTTCCTTTGAAAATCTGAAACACCCATCTGTTTCCTAATAAATTTAATACTTTTAATAACTCTCTTGCTTCTATATAACTGATTTATTGATACTTTGAATTTAAATTGATTTTATAAACACTATGTAAACATTATTTTTAATAATACAACAATCCTAAATGTTAACCCTTTATTTTAAAGAGGTAATTACATGTTTTCCCAATAAACTACCACTTGTAATCATCAATCTCCTATAAGAACCCCGATTTATTTTTGATTTACATGTGACTCCCTGCTCTAAAACCAGATTCCCGGTGAAATGCCAAAATGAAGTCATCATCAACGTGTCAATCAGAGCGCTATAACCCACCGCCGCACACAATATTTCACACACAGAGCATACCTTTCCGTCCAATTAACCCCTCGCCGTTTCTCACAGTGCACCCACACCCCTCCCTGTTTTTAAGAGCCCCTTTCTCCACCGCCCTTTCTGTCATCCAATGCGACGTTCAGTTTTGAGTGACAGCTGCAAAGTTTGTTTTGCATTTCATATTTGCGAGCTCGTCTGCAGGCCCCCCGAAAACCCCTTTCACCACCCATTTAGCAGAGCTCAGTGCCAACTGTCACTTGACCGGCCAAAACCCGCCTCCTGCCACGCCCCCGCCTCCGAAAGACCAACATGGCCAATAGAAAAGCTGGCAAACAAAATAAATGTGTAAATGTGAAGAAGCAAAAAGCTGGTAAAAATGAAATGAGAAACAAAAAAAAAGGAAATGGTCAACAAATTAAAACGCGGCAAAATAAAAATAAAAATAAAATTAAAATTTATTTGCTACCCAACGGATGGGAAAAAAGTACAAATAAAATAAAATACACATAACAAAAACGGAGGGGAGATGAAAGGAAAGACGAAAGGAGCAGCGGCGACAAGAGCGAAATATATTGTAACGGGCCAAAAGCCAAACTTGGATTTAATTAAAATGTTTACCACAGTCATTTCATTTTCATAGCCGGCAAACATAAATTTTGAAGGGGAAAGCGTGTGCGAGTGAGAGGGAGTGAGAGGGTCCGGGACCGCAGAGCGAAACAGCTGCAAGAAAATGCCAAAAACATTAAAGTTACCACACCAGGCCAACGCAAAAGTGGAAATTTTGATTGTTGCATTTTTGGTTTGGGGTAAAAACAATAAGCGATAAACAAAATAGGTTCAATCTGGGTAAGAAAATGGATTTGCAGGTAATTAGTTCAAGCAGGCACACAGAAATACACACACTCATAGGCAAATTTATCCCGAATCCATTTACTGGGATTATTTATAAGAAAACTCGGTGGCGCCCCCCCAGCCATTCCACCCAAGGCAATCCGTTTTGCGGTTGCAGGCATATTAACCCCTTAACGTCCTGGCAGCCCCTAACCCCTCAACGCCACCCCGTCCCCCCAAAAAAGGTCCCCAATAGGCCACCGCACATGTTGTCAAAAGCACAATGCTGAAACCATAAATTTATGTGCTTTCTATTGTTTTTGCCAAAGAAAGCGGAAGTTGTGTGCTCTCTGCGGTGAGCTTAGGCGGCGGAGGGGGTGGCAGAGGGCGGCAGGGGGGCTGGGTGGGCTTTGGAAAATGCTGGAAAACTACACAGCAGCAAAACAGCAACAAAAAACAGAACGAGTGAAAAAGGTGTGCGCAAAGGGATTTCAATCAATTGTGAGGCGAACTGAGGCAACTGGCAGTCAGAGCAACAAAAACTAAAGCTCAGCTTCTGTTCCGTTCGGTTTAGCTCTGCCCTGACCCACACTGAGAGAAAAATTGCAGTTAAATTAAAATTTTAAAGATAACTAAATTTTTTTGGACAGCGTTAGGAAGTTCTTTGTATAAAAAGCTATCTGTACCATCCCATTTTATAAAACAATTTTGAATACAGTATTTCAAAGAAAAAATTGACTAGTAATTATAAAAAATTTTAATAATAAATGTTATAAATCAACATGGCATATATAGTAATTTATAGAAAACTTTGATTAGTCATTATAAAAATTTTTTAGTAATAAATGTAACATATTACAAAGGTATTATCATCTGCCACTCTTATCACCTATAGTTTTTCTAAGTCCTAATATTTTTCCATAACTGACTAAAATCCAATGATTTACAATCTTTATTTTTCCCCCAGCGTATCGCTTTGTTGGAAAACGCAAATTGCTATTTTGTCTGAACAGCAAACGAGATGGCAATTCACTGGAAGACAGAGATACACAGAACGAAACGGAAAGAGACGGGGCTATAGATAAAGAGGGAGACGGAACGAGGGGACCAGTAGAGCCTGTTGTAACACATCCCGGTTGTAGCATCATTTTTCATGCGCTCCAACAACTTTTGACAAAGGTCGGTCAAGCAAGTCTTAAAAACTTTGCGACAAGACAACGCACGTTTCGTTCCAGTCCCCCTTTGACCTCCT